ACGATGGAGGATGCTGCAAGCGAGCGGAGCCTGAGGGCGGAGGAGGCCGACAGGGATGCTTTGTTGCGGCTCCCGTCGGGCTACAGGCCTGGGTTTCCAGCGGGCAGTTGTGAAGTACTACGCACAAATGCGGGTTCCATCAAAGTCGTCCCGGAGCCGTGATTTCTAAGAGTTGTTCATTGACACCCACATGTGAGTGATGACATCCTACGGTTCTTGACCCTTTCTGTCTGACTTCCTTCGCTTAGCAGGATACTCTCGCCATCCATCTATGTTGCAAATGGCGCTGTTGCATCCTTTCTTACAGCTGAGCGGTATCTCATTGTATATGTACCAGTCACCCACTGAAGGACTCTTAGGTTGTTCCATGTCTTGGCTGATGGGACTAGCTGCCTGGCCATTGTGGTTTCTAAGAGAAATGAAGAGAAATAACCCATTTTGAGGAAGGCATGGCAAAACCAAATACAAAACACAGAGTTTGTTCTCGGGAATCTTCAGTATCTTCTCTGTTAGTGAGCTGCAGCCTCAGTGGTAGTAATTCCTCTAACCCTGATGTCTCTGTTCAGTATAAGTATAAACTGTACAGTTCTGCATCTCAGGCTCTACAGGCCTATATTGATGATTTTGATCGCAGCCAGATGTATCCTGGTGTAAGCACTGGAAAGATTAACATTGATAAGTGTCCTGCTAATATGCCAGAATTCCCCAACTATATTTATAAACCAAACCATGCTTTTGAAAAATTTGATCACAAAGAAAGCTCCTTGTCCTTATCTTCTAGAAGATGTACTATTAATGACATAGATTCCATTAGCCTAACAACTGATGATCTGTTAAAACTTTCAGCAGATGGATCATTTCCTTTCACTTGTGTTGGACCAGGTCATCAAATTACCAAGAAAACCAAGAAATGCATCAGAAGTCTGAGTTTATCGGATACTTAAAAAGAATCAAAATTTTCAAGAAGCCTGCATTGCCAGGAGCAAGGATTACTTAGTTACTCCTGTTGTATATACAAATATAAATGGAAAGCAGTGTCGTAAGCTAAAAAACTCAAAACTTGTGAATAAAATGCATTTCTGAACCACCTTTTTATTTTATTTTATTTTATTTTTTTATTAAATTATTATCTGGGTACATATTTTAACATTGCCCCCCCTCCCATACATACCCTCCCTCCCCAGAGTTTTGTGTCCATTGGTTGTACTTATATGCGTATATACAAGTCCTTCGGTTGATCTATTATCTCCCCCAGATCTCCCTACCCTCCACACTTTAATTTGAAAGTCTGCTTGTTGCTTTACTGTCTTTATATCTGACTTTTGGTTCATCAGTTTATAATGTTCTTTAATATCCACAAATGAGTGAGGTCATGTGGTGTTTCTCTTTCATTGATTGGCTTATTTCACTCAGCATGATGTTCTCCAATTCCGTCCAGGTTGCTGCAAATGATGAGAATTCCTTCTTTTTTATGGCAGCATAGTATTCCATTGTGTAGATGTACCATAGTTTTTGGATTCAATCATCTGCTGACGGGCACCTAGGCTGTTTCCAGATTCTAGCTATTGTAGATTGTGCTGCTATGAACATAGGGGTGCATATATCCTTTCTGATTGGTGTTTCTAGTTGGGATATATTCCTAGGAGTGGGATTACTGGGTCAAATGGGAGTTCCATTTTCAGTTTTTTGAGGAAACTCCACACTGTTCTCCACAGTGGTTGCACCAGTCTGCATTCCCACCAGCAGTGCACGAGGGTTCCTTTTTCTCCGCAATCTCGCCAACACTTGTCGTTTGTTGATTTGTTGATGTTGGCCATTCTGACAGGTGTGAGATGGTACCCCATGAATCACCTTTTTAAAAGAAATTCTCTTTCAAGGACAGTTCAAAGTAAGATCTTGAAAAGAATTACCCATGATGACTCACTGGCCATAAATCTGACCTTAATGTCTCAGAGATAATTAGTATACCTGATTTCAAATATTCTGTCTGGCTCCACAATCAAGACTTGCTATCTGACACAAATAGTCAAAGTATTTATAAACTATTTAAAGATGAGCGGTGTTCCCCAAGACATAGTTACCAGGCACAAAGAACTTCTCGACCTATGAATAAATTAGATTGTTTTGAATATTCTTTTGAACCTTCAAATATTTCAGATTTCTTGAGTGGTGATTAAGGATTTGTTAAATGAATATGTGATTCTGAGCATAGCCAAGGTCAGTGGGAGAATCCACTTCTTCCAGGACAATCCAAAAAGCCATTCAATGTCTCTTAAAATAGGTGACAAAGTTGAATAACTTATCCTGAAGGCCAAGAGAAATCTAGAGCCTTGTACTAAATTACTGAAGTCTATGAAACAGGATGATAGTCTTTATTCATTAGACAAACTGGAAGCAGAAAGGTCGTGGGAAAATGTTCCTGTTACTTTTAAGTCTCCTGTTTCTGTTAACTCTGATGACAGTCCTCAACAGCTTCAAGGACAAAGAATGCTAAAAGGTTCCTTGAAGACTTTTTAAGTGATGATGATCAGAGCTGTACTCTGTCTGGAGGAAAACATCATGGTCCTGTTGAAGCCCTGAAATAAATGTTATTTAATCTTCAAGCTGTACAAGAAAGTTTTAATCAGAATAAAACTATGGAACCAAAAGGAGAGATTAAACAAGTTTCAGAAGATGATTTCTCTAAATTACAATTGAAGGAAGGTATGGTTCCTACCGTGTTTCCCCGAAAATAAGACATCCTCCGAAAATAAAACTTAGCGCATGGAAAGATAAGACATCCCCTGAAAATAAGACCTACCGCAACTTTGGGAGAAAAAATTAATATAAGACACTGTCTTATTTTCGGGAAACAGGGTATTACTAAGTCACTTCCAAAGGCTTTGCACCATTTATCTTGCCTGAGGGAGCTGGTTGGAGATACCAGTGGGAAATAGTCACCGAAAATGTGAAGAGGAAAATAAAAGTTTAACCAATAAATAGTCACCACAAAAACAAAAAATAAAATAAAAATAAAAATTTATTTTAAAAATCAATCAACCTATACTAATAAAAGGGTAATATGCTAATTAGACCGTGTTGACTGAACATCTTCTGGTCATCCAGTCCTTCCAGATAAAGCCATGGTGGTGGGGGCCTAAGCAGAGGCAGTTAGGGGCAATCAGGCAGGCAGGCAGAATGGTTTGGGGTGATCAGGCAGGCAGGCAAGTGAGCAGTTAGGAGCCAGTGGTCTCTGATTGCTGAGATGAGATGTCTGACTGCTGGCTGGTTCAGACCTAAACCAGCAATTGGTCATCCCCTGAGGGGTCCCGGATTGGAGAGGGTGTAGGCCAGGCCGAGAGACAACCCCCGTACATGAAGTTCATGCACCGGGCCTCTAGTTAAGTGCATAAATAAGTGGGATAACAAGTCAACATTTCTCTCTTCCATTCTTTCTAAAAATGAATCAATCAGTAATTTAGCGGAAACCGGTTTGGCTCAGTGGATAGAGCATTGGCCTGCGGACTGAAAGGTCCCAGGTTCGATTCTGGTCAAGGGCATGTACCTCGGTTGTGGGCACATCCCCAGTAGGGGGTTTGCAGGAGGAAGCTGATCAATATTTCTAACTGTCTATCTCTCTCCCTTCTTCTCTGAAAAAAACCCCAAAACAATAAAATATATTTAAAAAATAATAATTTAACATTAAATAAAAATAAACATTTATTTTTTTAAAATATTTTTTATTGATTTCAGAAAGAAATGAAAAGGGAGATAGAAACATCATTGATGAAAAAGAATCATTGACCAGCTACCTCCTACAAGTCCCCCTCCTCCTCCTCTCCCCTCCTTCCCCTCCCCCCAGCATTGGGGATTGAGCCTGCAACCTGGGCATGTGCCCTAGACTGGAATCAAACTGTGACCTCCTGGTTCATAGGTTGACCTCAACTACTGAGCCATGCCAGCCAGCTAAACAATTGTTTAAAAATAAATAAAAATGGAGTCAGTATATCCTGATATGCCTGGGAGTGAGCTACTTTGTTTGTCATTTGGCTTAATTATTAACAGCATACCCCCTTTCACTTTCAAAAAGCATCTCAGTTTGGACCATCAGTTATAGGTCTGTAATGGGATGGGCTTGGTACTAGCAGGGACTCTTCTTTCACTACAGTATTCCAGGCACTTAGTACAGGGTTTTACCATGTAGCAGGTGCTTGGTCAATACTAGTTGAATTTATATATGCATCTTTTAAAGCCAACTTAAAGGAAAACATACAGACATGACCAAAAAAATATGAATTTACCCCAAATACTGAATTAATGTACACATTAGAGCTGTGCTGTCCAAATATGGTGGCCATTGAGTCCTTAAAATATGGTTGGTCCAAATTCAGATGTGCCATAAATGTAAAATACATACCAGATCCCAAATATCTATAAGAATAAAAGAATATGCTAATTAGACCGGACAGCCAAACGACCTTCCAGATGATCTTCTGGATGAAGCCAGGGCTGTGAGGGCCGAGCCTCTTGCACGAATTTCATGCATTGGGCCTCTAGTTTAGTATAAAAAAGCAATGTCAAGTATTTCATTAATAACTTTTATGTTGATCACATATTGAAATAGAAATACTTTTGATATATTGGATTCAAAAAAATATATTTGTAAAATATATTTCACCTGTTTCTTTTTACTTTTAAAAAAATGTTTTTATCAGTTGGCGGGACACTGAGAAGTTAATGGTGATTCACATTTATAAATATGATCAGAAGGGTGTTCTAATTTTCTCTAATTACCTGCTTCCAGAAGGAATGACTGGTGGCTTTGCTTTCTAATTTTGAAAATAAAAATAACATACACATCATAAAATAATAAATGAGGGAAATTAAATCAGTTATCCGAGGTGATAGGGAGTTTTGTCCTTAACAAGCCAGCGAGTGTTCACCTCCACCTTGAGAGCATGTTTACTTGGATTTTGAAACTGTCCACTTTTAACAAACTTAAGGTCAAAGAAGAATGAAATTTCTGAAGCTGCATTTATTTCAAGAATTCTGTGGGCTCCGCCCAGACACCAATGGCATGGGCCTGTCCCACAGCACCCACATAAAACAGCACCGTGAGGGTGCCCTCGTCCTCTGGCCAGTCAACATGACTGAATCTACCATTGAGGCTCCTGGTTGCCCCTGAGTGGTCCCTTTGCACCTCCCATTCCCTGGGTAGGCAAGGAGCAGGCCTCAATGTCTGTTGGTCCCACAAGTCTGTGGTCTGCGCCCTGTGTTCTGTCCTCAGAGGGTATGTCACCTATAGCCACCCTACTGAGAAAGGGGGCCTCTTCACTCACAGGCTGCTTCTCTGTCCACGTCGCTCCAATGGCCCCTGCCCAGAGCCCCTGCCCAGGCAGAGTGCGGCCACGTGCTGGGCCAGAGTCATAGTCACTGTCCTCTAGGAGCCTGGGACCAGGCCCCAGCGAGGAGGCTAAGAGGCTGCTTCATCCGCTCTGGGCTGGATCAGCATGGTGGTGGCCTGCAGCGGGTAGTAGCGGCCCCGCCACGTCTTCCAGAAGATGCCCTTCTTACGCTGCTGCCGCTGCTGAGGAATGGAGTGGAAATACTGGCCATTGAGGTTCGAGTGGCTGCAATTACCAAACCACCAGCCTCCTGTTGGAACAAAAGGGGACACGGTTAGGCGGGGCCTACCCACCGGGGCGGGGATAGCCGTGAGGCTAGGCACTGGACTGGCACACTCTAGATGGGAGGGCGTTGGCAGCGGTTGTCAAATGGGTCCTGAAGAACCTCAGGTTGTGAGAGAGGAGCCTCAGGGACTCCGGGACCCCAACCCAATAACCGTAGCCTTCACATCTGTGACCGTGGCAAGTTACTTCCCTGCCCCTGACATTCATTAAAGACTTTCTACGCTTGGCATCTGTCTCATCAATTCCTATTATCAATATATTGGAAGAACAAAATATTACTAGTATTCCATCACTTTATGGTGTATTTTTTTTAAAGTCACCCTTTTAAATGTTTTTTAATTGATTATTATTTTTTTTTTTTTAGAGAGAGAAGAAAGAAGAGGGAGAGAAACATCGATTGACTGACACTTGAGACCCCCAAGATTAAGCCCACACCTTGGGCATGTGCCCTGACTTGGTCCATGGGTCAATGCTCAACCACTGAGCAACACTTGCCAGGCTTTTATCATTTTTAAATCTTCACCTGAGAATATGTTTTTATTGATTTCAGAGAAAGGAACATGGATGGGTTGCCTCCCTTATTCAACCCAACCAGGGATTGATCCTACAACCTGGGTAGGTGCCCTGACTGGGAATCAAACCCACAACCTTTCAGTGCATGGGATGCCACTCCAACCAACTGAGCCACACATTTTGTGACTCACCGAAAGGGAGTTTGATATGTTTCACTTCACAAGGCCTGGACTCTGCCTTAGATTTCATTTTTATGAAATGAGTTTATCTTGGTGGCTTTGCCACAATGTCATCTCATTGAATGTTCCTAATAATTTTAAAAGTGGGGCAACTGTAGATGGGAGAGGTTAAGTCACACAGCAAGTAAGGAAAAGAGGATAGCAGATAGAATTGTGCTGAAGGCAGGGCAGGGAAGCAGAAAGGCAGGGAGGGGAGGCCCGGCAGGCAGGACCAGGAGGGACAGAGCTGACTCACCAGAGAGGCTCTTCGCACAGTTCTTGTCCCCCTGGAGGTCGTGGTCCTGGTCCCAAGTGGAGAAGGGAAGGGAGAGGCTGCTGGGTGTCGTAGTGGTGGCACCCAGCTCGCTGGCCATGGGTGCTGTTAGCTGCAGGCTGTAGGCTGTGTCCTCACCACCCAGGCGGATGGGGAACTGCAGTGACTTGGCATTGCCTTCCCAGTCCTGCAGCTGCACAGCCAGGTGGCTGCCGTGGTCCCCCAGGATCAGGTGCATCTTCTCTAGGCCCAGCCAGAACTCTCCTGCAGTGAGAGCGGTCATCAGTGAGACAGGGACCCGCCACCACCGCCCCTCCACTCCCTGTGCCTCTGGCTTCTGGGAACACCCACCTTGGGGGTCTCCAAAGCCAGTCTTATAGACTTCCCAGGGCTGATTGAAGTCCACGGAGCCATCCTGGCGCCTCTGAATTACGGTCCAGCCTCCATCTGCCCAGACAGGTACAAGGTCACTCACTACTCACCCTTCTCACAGGGGACTCCAACTCCATCTGGCTCCAAACCCCCAAGCCCCCTCCAAACCCAGGGACAGCAATGCTTCCCTCGTTCATCCCAGCGGGACTGGAGGAAGGTGGTCAAAGGAAGGAATACTGTGGACTGGCAGCAGGAGGGAGGCTCAGCCCAGGTCTTTGTCCCCAGGACTCAGCAGGGGAAGAGGGAGTGGGAGGTGGGCTGCATTTGACAGAATGACAACAGTTCCCTAATGGGCTAACTCATCCTACCTGAGGTCATCTTGCAGTTAACCAGGAAAGGCAGGGACCCCTGAGGCTGGATCTGGAATAGTCCGCTTTGCCGTTCTCCCTCTTCAAACAGCTCTTGGCAGTCCCTGGGCAGCCCTAGAGGGCAAGGAGAGGGACAGGGAGACTGAATCAGAGAGCAGTCCTGTGGGTCCCAGGAAACAGGTGTGTGTAGAATCTGGGCAGTGGGCAACAGGGATATTAGAGGACAATCCCTAATTCAGGACACCCTCCCCTTCACTTTCTAAAATCTTCCATGGCTCCCTCTGACCTTCCTTAACACTGACCACAAGATGCTCCAGGACTGCCTCTGCCGCCCCCCCTCCCTCTTCCCACACTGCAAGCCCACCTTCTGGCCACACAGCCTTCCAGTCCCACACACCTTCCTGCCACAGGTCCTTTGTACATGCTGGTCCCTCTGCCTAGCATGCTCTTCCCTCATGCCTTTTTATGTAAGGGTTCCAGGTTCTGGAAGAAATCTCTGACCCCCCAGACCAGACCAGACCAGACTCCCAGAAAGGAGCATCAAGGACTTCCCACTCAAAATACTGGGGTCATCTGGTGTCCTCTCCCCGACTCCATCCCCTGAATGAGGCCTCCATGAAGCCAGGGATAGGGAACGTTCTTGGCCCAGGCTGGCACCAGTGCCAGGCTGCTCCTAGTCCACAGCAGGTGTTTAATAAAGACACAATGACTGAATGATTGATAACGAATATTTGCAGGAGCTGAATGGGGGGCTGGGCAGGGAGGCAAAAGCTGAGCTGAGCTGGACAGGCTTTGCTTTGTCTAGTGGGGATTCGGATCAGGTCTGGGTGGGACTTGCTGGGACAGGGACCCAGCCAAGGGTCCCAGAGTGGGAGTTGAATGACTGAGGAGTGAGAGAGAGAGAGGAAGAAAGGGAGGGAGGCAGGAAGGCAGAGTGAGAAGGGGAGGGAGGAAGGAAGTGAGGAAGGAGGGATGGCCTCTGTTGGTGGGAAGTCCCGCCCCCAGCCCAGCAAAGAAAGTAGGGGAAAGGTCGCTGGAGGGAAAGGGGGAGTGAAGGCCCAGGACAAGGGGTGAATGTGTCCTATTGTTGCCAGGGTGGGGCCAGCCCAGGGTGACTGCAGACACTTTCTGGCCCCTGGGGCAGCTCCCCTTTCCCCTACTTTCCTTTCTTCCAATCAGGACAGGCACCTGGCCAAACCACCAATGTGGCTTCCATTAGCACCGGCTGTTTCTCTCTCCAGCTCTGAACTTTCCCCTACTTGGCAGGACTGAGCTGGAGCCTGGGAGTTCCCAAACCTATGAGTTCCCCCCTCCAATCCCCTCCACATCCCTCAGCCTGGACCTATACCTACTGGTCCATCCCAGAAGCCCCTCATCCCAGGACAGAAGTTGGGGAGGGTGTACTGGAGCCTTTCTGATAGGAGTGGGGGCGGGGAGCCGTGTGTGTGTGTGTGTGTGTGTGTGTGTGTGTGTGTGTGGCAGGGGCGGGAGGGGGGAAGCCCTCAGAGAGGGCTGGAAGCCAGCAATCAGTCTGGGGGTGTGAAGGGGGAGAATCTGAACTTTCACCCAGTTGGCAATAGGCAGCACAGATGCCAGGCCGGGTGATGGGGTAGGAGGACTAGAGGGAAGTTGGCTGGCTCTGGGGCCATGAACTTAAGGTGGGGCAGAGACAGGAAGCTGAGAGCCTGTGTTGACACACACAGACATGTGGTGGGGAATTTGGGCAATTTCAGGCATACATTCAAACAGAACTGCAGATGGTGGCAATGGCCACCTCTCTGTGGAAGCCGGGGAATGGGAAAAGGGGGTACTTTGGGGCCAAGAATGGGGGCAGGGACCAGGTGCTCAGACCCGCAGCCCTGGGTTTGTCAGAGATGCAAGAGTGGATGTGTCTGGCCGGGGAGATAGGCCCCCTGCCCTTGCTCTACCTCCTAGATCCACATTCCCAATCTTAGAACCCTTCTCACAGGCAGGGGTTTGCTGTACGGCCAACAAGGACTCCAGACTCCCCAGCTGGCACCCCCTTGTCCACCACGGCGCCCTCCTAGAAAGTTCCAGCCTACCTGGAGGTGTCCCTGCACTGCACCACCCCCTTCCCCACACTCCTGCAGCTCAAGTTTCTTTTGGACTTGGACCCTCTTTCCCAATCCTTGCTCTATTAATAGCCAGCAAGGCTTTGGGGAAAACCCCCTGGCCCATGGGAAGAAGGGTGGGGCAGTCAGGGGCAGAGCTGGAGAAGGTGCCCCATTAGCCCTTCACCAGGGCCCAGAGGGACCCAGGGCCAAGACCTCTCTCCTCCAGGAAGGCGGACATGACCAGGAGGGGTGCAGGAACGGCAGGTGTCCGTGTCTGTGTGTGGAGGCGGGAGCTGCCAGAGGACGGCAGAGGGCTGGACACTCACTGTGTGGGTGGGTTGCGTTGTGAGCGGAGCCAGCAGGCTGGGGCATCTTGGGCAGCCTCTTCCTCCGGGCAGGCTTGGCCACCGCGCGGCCCAGGTGCGTGGGGGCCAGGAGGCCCACCTGGTCGAGGACGGGGAGACAATGTCAGCTATGCCTGCCTCACACCCAGACTCACGGGGTCAGCTTGGACGTCCCCACCCTCGCGGTACAAGCATCAGGTACCTACCTGGCTCTGCAGGTTCTGGATCCTCAGGTGCTGCTTCTCCAGGTGGCGCTGCTGCTTGGCCACCTTTTGGAAGAGCAGCTCGATCTTGCTGTTCTGAGCCTTGAGCTGGGTCTGGAGAGAGAGTGAAAAGCCTGGTGAGGGCCTGGCCTTCTGCCTCTCCATTCACCCGCTCCTCTGTCCTCCCAGCGCTCCATCCTTGGGCTCCCGAGCAGGAGTCCTGGAAGCGCACCGCTTCCGTCCACACCCTCCCAGACCATGCGGGCAGCCCCTGGGGAGCACGTACCTGCAGGCTGCGGAGGGTCTCCGGGACGGCCTCGCCCGGGGAGCCGGGACCTGCGGGGCCGTGCGGGGCCGGGGCGGCGGTGCCCGGGTCCCCGCAGGCGGCGCCGCACGCGCTCAGACGCCGCTCCAGCGCGCTCAGCTGCCCGCGGGTGCGCTCCGCGTGCTCGCGCAGCCCGTGGCCGAGCTGCAGGAGCCCGTGGGCCAGCACGTTCACCTCGTCCCAGGACGCGTAGCGGGGCGGCGGCTCGGCGGGCGCGGGGCGGCCCTGCGCGCTCAGCAGCCCGGCGGCGGTGCACAGCACCAGGGCGGCCCCGACCTCGGGCGCACAGCGCATCCTCCCCGGCTGCTGGGCGCGGCTCGCGGGGCGCAGACAGGGCTTTCCGCGGACGGACGCGGGTTCCAAACACGCCGACCCCGGCGGAGGCTTGCGTGGCTGCAGAAGCCCCGATGATCAAGGATCGGGTCCGAGCCTCCCGCCCTTCGCTCGGCGTGTTCCCGCGACGCCCTTTTTATAGGGCGGGTGCGAGAGGGGGCGGGGCGGCTCCCAGGCGGAGCGCACGTGCCGGGGGCGGGGTGAGCCATCGGGGTGGGGTTCTGTGCATTCCCAACCGTGTGGTTAGTATGCGGGGGGCAGGGCGCCCTAAGATTGCAAAACTCAGGCTCCTCCCCGCCTGGCTCTGACGAGGCTTCTCTGCAGACTGACCGTGGGAGACGTGACTGTCCCCCTTACCGTAATCCTCTTTCCTGCACCGAAATTCCGAGTCACCCCCTTGCCCCCCCGCCGGCCACTGTACCCGAAGACCGGGCGGCTGGCATTCCTCATGCCCTCCTCAAGTCAAACGCTGGAGGAGGCGTGTGAAAGGCCCTGTGCGCTGAGTCCCGCAGGACCCGGAGGGGAGCCCGGGATATTTCCGGGAGAGCTTCCCAAGACCAGGCTGTCCCCCCACCCCCCACGCACACACTATCACCCAGACGTCTGCAAGCTCCCACGCTCCTTCCCGCTCCAGGATTCGTCATAGCAGAGGTGTCTGTGGGTTCTTTAACGTCCCTCATCATCACCCTTCCCCTCGACCTCGTGCCCTGTTGGCAGGGCCAGTGTCTGTCCCGTTAAGTCTCCAGCTCAGGGTCTCCCTTCCCACACTCTCTACCCTCAGGGTCTGCAGTGTCTGAGTCTTGCCTGCATCAAAGCAGAAACCTCGGAACAGAAAGAGGGTATACTTGGAAGGAAGGCCAACCCATTCATTCATTCATTCATTGGGCAGTCATCTACTCTCCTAAATGGAGCTCCCAGATTGGTGGTGGAGAGACCCTGATACTCTGAGACTGGGGAATGAGCAAGTCTGAGAGCGGCTGCCATTCCACGGGCAAACATTTATTCAGCAAACTTTCACTAACGTCCCCCACTGCCCTCCATCCCCTACCAACTCCCCTCTACCCGTCAGGAAAGAGCTGGCACAGAAAGTCCATCTGCCAGGAAGAACCCGGGGCAGGTTAGTTCCAAGCTCTGGCAAGAACAGCGTTGACTCAGCAGGGCCCAGAGCCAGGTCAGCTCTGTAATCCGAAACTGCATGCCTGGGGCCTGATGTGCAGGTCTGCACTCACAGGGGCCTGCCCAGATGTCAGGATGGCTGATCTCTGCGGCCGTGCCTGGCAGATGGGAAGGGCTGGGAAGGGCAGGGAGGAAAATCCCCACCAGGAATAGACCTGGACGGACACCATCTGCCTGGCAGCCAGCCTGTCCACGCCGAAGCCCATGCTCCGTCTGAGTGGGTGATACTGCTATCCCAGGGTGTGTTCTTTCTCCATCTGAGTGGGTGACATTGCCCACAAGTGTGTTCTTTCACCCCTGGCTCCCTGCGCTGAGATAAATGATCAGTTACTTTCCCAACCTGATGGCCTTTTCATGATCTATTTGTTAAATATATTTTATTGATTTTTTTTACAGAGAGGAAGGGAGAGGGATAGAGAGTTAGAAACATCAATGAGAGAAAAACGTCGATCAGCTGCCTCCTGCACACTCTCTACTGGGGATGTCCCTTTAACCAAGGTACATGCCCTTGGTCGGAATCGAACCCGGGACCTTTGAGTCTTCAGGCAGACGCTCTATCCATGGGTTACTCATGCAACTACAGTTACCTGGAATTCGACTTGGAGTAGATATTCCAAGGTGGACACTTAGTGTCTGGTGACTAGCCTGAGTTTCTCCCATGGTGACGGTAGTTCCAATAGGATGAGACCCAAAAAACAAGATGTATTCAACCTCTGCTTGCCTCACATTAGCTAACATCCCAATGGCCAAAGCTACAGAAGAATGTGGATACCAGTTGGCATGAAGCATGAAGGCCAGTAGTGAGCAGCTTATCACAGCTAGCGTAATGTAGAACTCCAAATAGTTAGACATAGACCTTCATTTGCACTCTTGACACACACCCGGCAAACACTGGAGTGAATGTCTCTATTTCACCAGGCACTCAATGCAGATCAGGATATCCTCCTGCCATTTTCCTCTTGGAGATCCCAGCCCTGGGGGTCAGCTCAGCACACTCACTTAGTTCATTCTGAAAATGTTACCTATACATCTGCTGTGTACCATACACTAGGGGTACAGCCATTGGCAGGTAGACACAGTCCTGTCCTCAAAAACTGGGGAGTCCAGGGCCCTATCTACATAGAGTTCAGTGAGATTGATGTCAAGTGATTTTTTTTTTTCAATCCTCACCTGAGGATATTTTTTCCATTGCTTCTTCAGAGAGTGGAAGGGAGGGAGATAGGGAGATAGGGAGAGAGAGAGAGAGAGAGAGAGAGAGAGAGAGAGAGAGAGAGAGAGAGAGAGAGAAAGAGAAGGAGAGAAAAGCAACGATGGGAGAAAGCTACATCAACTGGTTCCTCCCTCAGGGTGGGGAGCGAACCTACAACCCAAATAAGAGCCCCTAGCCAGGAATGGAACCCTCCACACTTTGGTACAACTGAACAACACAGGCCAGGGCTCAAGTGACATTTTGTAGACATTTAATTAAACATTTATTAACTTTAATAATGCAGACTATTTGTTATTTCCCAATTTGTGAGAAGATATGCATTGTTTTCAAGCCTCAAACATTTTGTAGGGGCTTGGAAAGTCCTTACACTTTCTTTGTGGAAAAGTTTGCCCTGGGGAGGAAGACAGAAAACGTAACCCTGTGACTTCTTTCCTTTTGTGTGAGTAATTTTAAATTTTGCAATAATTTCAACTTACAGAAATTTTGCAACAAGAGTATAAAGACCACTTGTATACTCTTCGTGGAAATTCACTAATTGTTAACTGTTCTAGTCGCTTTATTATTCTCTCAATCTCTCTATCTTGAAAATGAAACATGTATCGGCATATACTAGTATGCATCTGTAACATACACAACAAAATATAATGATATATAAAACACTTATTGAGAGAGACATGTATAATATATACATTTATACATTGGTGAATATATAACACACACAGAAACAATACATGTATGTATAGAAATATATAATTATTACAACACAGAGAGACATATGTACACTAGAGGCCCCAACAGGGACTGGGTGAGACTGTCCTGATCGCCCTCATCACCAGCCAGGCTTAGGAACCCCACCCCAGCCTCTAGTTTATTTTATAACTGGAAGTTTGTAACTTTTATTTTTTTATATATAAATATATTTTATTGATTTTTTTTTACAGAGAGGAAGGGAGAGAGATAGAGAGTTAGAAACATCAATGAGAGAGAGTCATTGATCAGCCACCTCCTGCATACCCCCTACTGGGGATGTGCCCGCAACCAAGGTACATGCCCTTGACCGGAATCGAACCAGGGACCCTTCAGTCCACAGGCTGACACTCTATCCACTAAGGTAAACCGGTTTCGGCAAAAGTTTGTAACTTTTAACCTAATATGATTCTTTTAACCATTTAACTTGAATACTGGGTGATCAGTGCTATCCTGGGAGAAGCACAGGAGCTGAAAGAGCTCAGAGAAGGGGCCAATCCCGTCAGGCAAGGCTTCCTGGGGCAGAGGCCAGAGGCCGAGGGGACCAAGATCATCCAGACAAAGAAAGTAAGGAATGGGTGACCCAGACTGGGGAGGAGCCTGAAAATGCACTATAGCCTGGGGCGTGCCTGATTCTTCCTAGATGAGCCCAGTGACATTGGGGCTAAGTATGTGGACACCCCAAGAGAGGCCTCTGTGCCTGTCTACGGACTGGCCCCACCACACCATCAGCTGATCATGACCTTCTCTGCCAGCCTTTGGTCACATTCAGGTCACGGGGTCAGCCCCAGGGCAGGAGCCTCAGAGGCTTGGGCAGAGATGACTCAGCTTCTGGGTTGAGGATTCAGAAGGGAACAAAGTGGCTGCTACAGAGATGCCCTCCCTATCTGCACCGCAAAGTCTCCCCAGCCTGGGAGCGTATGTGAGCCTTTGCTCCCAGGGCAAACTCACTGAGAGAAAAGTAAGTCTAAGTGCACTTTACAGCCCTCACCTTTATAGCATCCAGCATCACATGCTCCATCTCACCTCCTCAAATTCGCCTTGGATAGGAGAACATACCTTTCCCTTTTGAACTAGGGAATCTGAGATGTTCAGACACTTCGCCAAAGTTGCACAGCTTTCAAGGGCCAAAATTTGAACCTATTTCTCTCTCCACTGAATCTTTTGTTTTGAATGGATAATGTATTTCCATTACCTCAAACCCAAAATGTTTAAATAGCATAGCTGTAGAAGTCACCCTCCCCTAGTCACGTGTCCACACAAACTTTGTTCAAGGATGTTTATCCATCCTGGCTGGCATGGCTCAGTGGTTGAGCATTGACCTATGAACCAGGAGGTCACGGTTCGATTCCTGGTCAAGGCACATGCCTGGGCTGAGGGCTCGATCTTCAATGTGGGGCATGTATGAGACAGCCAATCAATAATTCTCTCTCATCACTGATGCTTTTATCTCTCCCTCTTCCTTCTTCTCTGAACTCAATTAAAAATATTTTTATTCTGCTAAGGGTTTAATCTCCAACATTTACAGGGAACTCATACAACTTAACAAAAGGAAGATAAACAACCCAATTAAAAAAAATGAACCTAAATAGATACTTTTTTTAAAAAATGTTTTAAATGTATTTTATTGAGTTTTTACAGAGAGGAAGAGAGAGGGATAGAGAGTTAGAAACATCGATGAGAGAGAATCATCGATCAGCTGCCTCTTGCACACCTTCCACTGGGGATGTGCCCGCAATCAAGGTACATGCCCTTGACCGGAATCAAACCTGGGACCTTTCAGTCCACAGGCTGACGCTCTATCCACTGAGCCAAACCGGTTTCGGCTAGATACTTTTTGAAAGAGGACATTCAGAAAGCCAAGAGACATGAAAACATGCTCAAAGTCACTAATCATCTGAGAGATGCAAATCAAAATGACAATGCGGTACCCTCTCACACCTGTCAGAATGGCTCTCATAAACAAATGAACAAACCACAAATTCTGGTGAGGATTCGGAGAAA